TGCTGAGTGCTGTGTGGCAAAGCAAACATCGCAAGAAAAGTATTGTTTAATGCAGGTGAGGTGAATTCCACGTGTCCTCGTAAGCGTTTGGCAAAGTCGTTTTGCAAAAGTGGACATAGGAGATTGTGCCTCTCTGCTGTCAGACTCAAAAAAACAAATGAGCTAATGTGTTTGGAGGAATGCTGCGTGACACTCAGGGAGAGTTTCTGAGGTTTCGGATTTAGTTTGATGTTTGGTGAAGCTCTTCAGTGAGCTTGTGATGTTCCAGCAATTTCCAAGCACACCGTATGTTGTTTTTCCTTTACGTTGTCACTCATCTGCAATTCCGTCAATCACACTTCAACACTTGGTCAACTCCATAAACTCGGGAAGCAGAAACTCCTCCTTTGGTGTTTGAAAGCTTGGGTTTAAGTTTACTGCTCACCAATATCGTGACAAATGTTTTTTTGATAGATGGGAGTCAGTTACAGCTGCAGTGAGCAGAAATCTAGAAAGTAGCTGCACTTCTGCAGCACTTCCACAGATGCTAAAAAAAATGTAGCTTCTGAGTTTGAAGAGTGAAGTTAAAGTGGACGTGCTAAAATCTGTAGTCTTTTTAACCACTCCTGTGGTTGCAAAAAATCACCTGTCTTCTGTCTAATTGATGTCTTCATGTCTTCGCAGCTTTCAGTTCCTCTGCTGGTGTAGTAGTAAATAATGTTGTTTGGCAGGTCAAAGAGCGCAGGTTCAATTCTACCTTGAATAACAAGTCCCGTTTAGTCTTTTTGTCAAGTCTGACATAAAACTTTGCCAGCTGATGTGGCGGTGGGGGCACCTGTAGCAGTTAACGCATCCATCTTACATGTGAAAGATCCCTGGTTTGGTTCCAGGAGGAGACACAAGTTGTGCCACCAAGAGTAAGAAGCGTGCGTGCTCCACGTGCCTGCTCCAGGCCCGGATAAATGGGAAGGGTGTGTCGGGAAGAGCATCTGGTGTAAAACCTGTGCTAAATCAAACATGTATTTAGCACAGCTTGTATTTAGCAAACCATGTGGCGACAGCTTGGGGAACAGGGAAGCAATACGAAAGCCCCTTTTATATTAAACGAAAGTCCATTTTGTAATTACGATTTTGTGTTTTATTTGCCTCGTAAGTCAGATGTCACTGTTGAGCGTAGTCCACTTGTGAAGTCAAAAACAGGATTTATTCTGAGTTTTGGAACGGTAGAGCCATTCATGCGTCAGTGCTCGCTTCTTGTACATGACGCTGCAGTGCATTCGTGGATAGAGCCCGATCGTGCGTACGGTTAATGTAGCGAGTGACAAGGATACAACAATGGCTGCACAGTTGAAGTTGTACAGCTTTGCTACCGCACTGCTGCCGTGTTGGATTGTGAAGTCAGGGTTAGTGTGGCTGCCCTAACCTTTAAAGTTGGAAGTCCAACTTAAGAAGTTGAGCTGAGATTTGCAAACGGCAATTCAGAAATTCCAACTTCTGATTTGAAATGGATGTTTCACACTTAGTGGGTGAGCAGGTGACCACATGCCATATTGCCAGACAGCAGTAGGCCCAGGTTGGAGTCCGACCCGCGCCCTTTGCTGCATTTCTTCCCCTCGCTCTCTCTCCCTGCTTTCCTGTCTATCTACACTGTCTCTATCCAATTAAGGCTGAAACGCCAAAAAGCTGTCTGAGCACTTCCTTCTTTGTGGCAAGCCACGTATGTTTTTAATGTACTTAAACAAAGTCAAGGCTGACTTTTGGCTCCAGGTGAGAGTCCTAGCACACTCTTGTTCTTCCTACATGCACCTTACTTCTAATATATTATTTTATACTCTTTTATACTACTCAGCAAAATTGGACTGAAGACATAAAGGACTGTGTCCAGAAAGGACACAGGAGTGTAGTTCCCTCTTACGCAGCTTGAATGATAATAAACTGAAATGTTATCGTGGATTTTGTTGTCATTTTGCCAATGCCAGCTTTAAATGAGACAAGCAGGCAGTAATGTACTTATCTCCTATGCTCCTGTGATTGGCTGAGACTGCCATCAGTCACCCTAAAGCAGGGATGTCAAACTCGTTTGGACCAGACCAGTAAATTCTCTTTTATATCAATGTAGAGGCATTTAACTGCACACTTAATCCCTGAGAAATCTTATTATGAGGAGAAGAAGTGCAAATTTCGACAGTTTTTCTACATTATAAATGTGGAAATAGACAAAAGAAGTTGAAAAACAGCAACTTTAGTATCATTTAATTGTCTATTACTTTACTGTGGTGTAGTATGAATGCCAATGAGAGAGGAAGTTCAACATCTATGATGAAGCCTTTTAGTGGACCAGAATGAAGTCTTTGCCAGGCCAGTTCTGGTCCTTGGACCTTATGTTTGACACCTCTGCCCTAAAGTTTACAAGCACAGCTTCATTAAATGTGTTCATTTTGTTGCTTTAATCAGCGTTCAGACTCGCTGTCGATGTGTTGATCCTTAACCGTGCCTCACGTGGTTCGAGCGTGTGAGCATTTTGGCCATCCTGCTCAACTGCGTGACTCTAGGGATGTTCCAGCCTTGTGGCCACACCCCCTATTTTCTGCAGGTAAAGCACGCTCACACACACATAATCTGAAATTGCAGACTAATTATATTCCACTGTCACACTTCATTATCAAGGGTCTGAAAAGTTTTGCCAATAACACTTTTCTTCCTTCCCCCCGCTTAATCAGTTAATCCTCTGGGTCTCCGTGTGTGTGTTTGCGTGCAGGCTTTGGATGATGGCATCTTTGTGTTCTTTGCCGGAGAAATGGTTGTGAAGATGGTGGCTCTTGGGGTCATAGGTCAGAGCGGTTACCTAGGCGACACATGGAACAGATTGGACTTCTTCATTGTTATAGTGGGGTGAGTGCTGACAGCCAACGCGCACTCACACGCAGGCGCGCCTGACATTAAATATGAGCCAAGAGTGTGTGTGTCTGTGTGTGTGCATGTGTGTGTGTACGTGTGTTTTGTGTGAAGCTTAGACACTTGTTTAATGCCAGTTAAATGTCAAGCGTGTGTGCGCGCGTGCTTAGACATATCAGTGGAAGTGTGTGTGTGTGATAGCTCCACAGAATGACAATCGTATCATTCGGTCATGAGAGACACAGACCTCGGTGATTGGTAGTTAAAAGGCTCTGTGTCCCGGAGTTCTGGTAGAGTCCCTGTAGGCGTTCAGAGTCTGCCAAGGTCAGGCTGATCAGGATGCCGGTGACACAGCGGTGGCTTTCCCTCTGCGCAGAATGCTGGAGTACTCGCTGGACGGACACAACGTCAGCTTATCAGCTATCCGGACTGTTCGAGTTCTCCGCCCACTGCGAGCCATCAACAGAGTTCCCAGTGAGTCTTTCTCCTTTTATTTATTTATTTATTGTCTTACCCCCCTCCCCTCCAGCATGCAGCTCACACAGAAACTGGGTTACTTTATTGTCTATCATGGCTTTGACTGTACGTCCGCACAATGGGCTGAAACTGTGAGGCTGATTTAAAGTGCTGACTCAACCTTTGAAAGTGTGCCTGCATACAAGCTGGGTGAACAGTGCAGGAGAACAGTCGGGACAAGAGGACAGTGCAGCAGGTTAAAAATCCTCAAAGAGACCAGAGGGGAAACAACTAGGAGTCTTTTTTCCTGAGAGTGCAATTCAGCTGATCGATGCCTCGAAACAGAAGAAGTAGAGAAGGCTGCTGTGCAGGCCCGGGAGAGCATCACCAGAAAGCTTTTGGCGATATGTGCAGGGTGTAGACTCCAGAAAGCCACTGGCTGTTGGAAGAAATGTTAAATCTGATGATTTTGTAGTTTACGAAAACATGTCCAATCAGCTTCCCGCTCCCCTTTAATTGGAGCAGAAAGGGCCGCGATTCCTGCGCGGCTCATCCGATGTGGAAACACCTTAGCTGAGTCAGCAACATCGTTAGTCACAGCCGGGGCGATGAAGAGCGTGTCACCGTCCTTGCACGCTCCGACTAGATTGTAAATCCCACTTCATTTCTTTAACTTCCCGAGCTATGCACCTGCTGCAGCTCGCCCCGTGATGGATGCACATGTAAATAAATCAGGACATTGTGAACAAAGTCAAGCGAATCATTGTGATGCTTGTGTTGTTCTTGATAGCTCACCGCACAAGTTGGCCAGCCAACTTTATGTCTTTTTTTTTCTTTTTACTACACTCGGTGACCTTGCTGCGGCTCTCATTGAGTTCTTGTAAAATCGGAGAGTGTTTTTGAAGTAGGAACGAGTAGAGAAGAAGGAAGGAGGAAGATTTTGTATGTGCTCTCTTTAGGAGAGTGGAGTAAGAGCCAATTATCGGTGTTGCCATTCAGCTAATTGCACTGCCTGCGTTTTGTGCAGAATACATAAAGAGTCCTGTCTGGCCAACATTTACTGTGACTGACATTTTGCTAAAGTTTGCATTGACTTATTGCTGATCTTTGCTTGTCTGTCTACCCTTCTGTGTTTATGCTGTGTGTGTGTGTGCTGTGTGCACTGATAGGTATGCGCATCCTTGTGACCCTCCTGCTGGACACACTTCCTATGCTGGGAAACGTGTTGGCGCTCTGCTTCTTTGTCTTCTTCATCTTCGGCATCGTTGGCGTACAGCTGTGGGCGGGGCTACTGAGGAACCGCTGTTTCATGGGAGAGGACGTGAAGATGTGAGTTGCTATAGTGACCAGCCGATGTCACAGCACGAGTCGCGCCAGCTTTGTTGCTCCAACCTGTCAAAAGTTTGCTCACAACCGATCAGCTTCTCTCTCTCCTTACTCGGGGATCGATATCACAGATGGGCTGATCTTGTTTGTTCTCTAATCAGCTCCGTCACGGAGGTGCTACGTGCTTCCCGTTGGACACTTTGAGCATCGGGGATCACAAATCAAGGGATTTGGAAGGCTAAATAAATTTAGGGAGCTGTTTTTCAGTGGCTGCCTCTGAGCGGCTCTTTCCACAGTAAAACCATCTTGGTTTGCTGTCACTCCAGTTCTCCCCCACACAATCCTTCATGTCACGCTCGATCACAGTCTAACTGATGATGTTACCGTCACTCCCACTCCCGCTCACATGCTCACAAACATGACCACATATTATCACAGAACATCAGATAACGTCTGTTTCGCCTTCTTAGATAGCAACTTGGACAACAATCAGTGATGGTGCTGTGGTGACGCATTGTTGTTGTGCCAAACATTCACTCATTTGATAATGAATTTGTGGTTCTTGCCAGTAACTAACTTTATTTATACTGCAGCTTTGCAAAGGAATCTGTGGTGATGCTGGAGAAGCAAAGACTGAAATTAATCTCTAGCAGCAGCAGCCTCGAACATAAGTGTCCTCTTATAACTTTGCCCCGTACAGTATTGTGCAGAAATCTTGAACCACCTCTTATTTCTTTATAGTTTGCTTTCAAGGAGCCAGATTTTCTTGTAATTTTTTAAAAGTGGTCTATGAATCATACAAGTGAACTCAAGGGATGAATCAGTGTTTTGCGTACACACAGCAGACAACTTATCAAAGACCCAATTCTAAATTGTATCTTTACGCACTTTGTTACCAGCAGCCTGTCACAAAAACGCATTATTTATTCCTATTTCTTTTCTAGAGTTTATGTAAAATTGATATGGTTTCCGAAAGAGACTCAGGCGCAGGCCAGGGTATTCCTTTAAGCGAAGAACAGTGCGTTTATTCACAGTGAACACAATCACCAAGTGGCTATATACAACGTGCAGGGGAAACGGGTCTGGGTCGCCAGGGTCCGTGGGAAACAGGGTTAGGGGAAAAGGTGCTCCACACTTTCTGTACAAAAGGCTCCTCCTCAGTCACTCCTCTCAGAATCCGGTTCCAAAAACGATCTAAACACAAAAGGTCGGGTTAGTGGGATAATAACAAAGGGCTTTCAAGATGGAGGTTGGCAGATACACAAGTTTGACTGACGCTGATAGCTCAACGATCCAGCGAAGACTAGTGCAGACTCGCCATCTTAAGTAGTGCAGTAATCAGCTGGGATCAGCGGCCGGTGCGGTGATGAGAGCAGGTGTGTGGGCCAGCAGCGGGAGCCCGCAATGAGCGTCGCCGCGGCGAGAGAGAGAGCGAGAGAGAGAGCAAACAAACCACAAACATATTGCCTAATAGAGGGTCGACCAGCGGGGCACAGGGACCATGACAAAAATGCCAAAGATAACACAGCTTGTGATGCATGAAATAGTATTTTTGAACCTCCAAGATCCCAAAGAGCTGTTAGCTGAAAACGTAGCATATCTCGTCGTGGTGTGCAGTGGGACCTTGAAAAATTGAGGAAACTGCACAAGTGGAGGACCAAAGAAGCAATGACTTGCCTGTAGCAGACAAGCGGTATCTGAAAGTCATGTGTTTAAGATATGGTAAAAAAACAAAATCCAAAGTCCACAGGATCTAAGAAATGCATCTGGACCTTCAGGTGATCCATCTACTGCTTACTAAAGAAATGGTCTCAGGTAGAAGGTGGATGTCAGATCAGGAGCAAGAAGGATTTGGTAATTTTTGGTTGAAGTCATCAATATGTATGAAAAAGGTCAAGATTAAGGTGCAACAGTAAGTGTCTACATGCATGACAATGGTCCCAAACACACTGCTAATAAAAGCATACCAAGATAGAAAAAGACATAATGAAACAGCGTCAGTCATGGATTGGCCTCCCCAGTGCTCATATTTCTTATTCTCCTAGCAAAAAATCATTAAATGAAGAGTTACTTAAGAGTTGCGCACACAGTGTACAACATCTGTATGAGGAAAGTCAATATGAAGGAGTTAGCGGGTCTGATCACCTGGTTTCTAAATTATGGTGGGATGTAAGGTTTATAAGATAATATATCCTAGTGCGTCCTCTTTAAATTCATTATGGATACGCTGAAGTTCAGAGACCCTGAAACAGATTGAGTTACCAGGGTCACTACTTGGTGACTTGTCGTGGGTCGAGTGAATTAACTTGAAGAAAAAATATGAACTCACAGTTTAGAAAAGGCAGCAAAGCAGAGGGAGTTAAATATACACCTTATTAAAACTGAAAATAACAATGATAACACACACAACAAAACCACAGTGCAGGGAACAAACAAGCCCCCGTTTGACCTTTTTAGGGGTATTTTTCTCCTTCAGTTACATTTATATAACATATCCATCACACTGGATGTAAAAAACATGACATGATCCACTGGCTTGAGCTCTCCGGTTCTGAAGCTTCTAGTTGAACATTTTATGGTAGATCTGATGGAGGACTGTACATTAGAACAAATGCAAATTAAAAGCACTTTCCACTTTTTTCTTCCTGAAGGCTACTGACCGCTATCAGCTTCATCTCCTTCATACTGCATAGTATGAGTCATGCTGAAAAAACACGTAGAAACTCCGGCTGCTGTTCTTTGACTTTATTAAACAGCTGTGGCATCACCCAGCAGCGGGATAGAGGCCCTCCAAATTGCGAGCAATTTACGCAGGTGGCACAGCAGCGTAACTTCATTAATTATTTGCATCTTCTGGTGTGTCATTGTGATCTTACGTCGCCTTATTAACCTAAATGTTTTCTGCTCAGCAGCTCCGCAGATTCGCAGCTTCCACAGTGAAACGATTGGGAACAAAGCGTTCGTGCTCAGGATGGATCTGGCACCTTCAGAGCTCTCAGGGATACATTTTTATTTTAGCTGGTTTCTCCCAGAATCACTTTTTTTTTTTTACTGAGAGTTTTGCTGCTTAATGTACGGACATTACTGCCAGCGTGGAATTTATCTGGGCGCTCATGGAGATGATAAACAAGGCAAAACACTGCCTCATTATGAAAACACAATACACATTTTATCACAACTTTAACTGAGCCAGTGCAAATATTAATATTTCCCAGATTTGCAAATAGTTATCAGCATAATCATAAGAAGAAATAGAAAAAACATAACTCCTCAGCTGAAAGTATTTGGGTACAGGGGCTAAACCTGGGGTGTTTTATTTTTCTTTGTGAGTCATCAGTGCTTCCTGGAGGTGATTTTTTTTTTATCGTTACATTTTTTGAAATGTTATATCATCGAATCTTAAGCTTACATCATAAGTTCAAGAAGGCACGCAGCTCCAAAGCAAAGCCCAAGAGTCTGAATGCTCTGGCTTCTCTCTGGAGGAATCTGGGCGTTCAGAGGGTTAAGATTGAATTCTGACACTGGAATTTTTACCAATAGAGTCGAGTGAGTGGATAATAGTTTATTGTACAAGATTTTACAAAATGACATTTGCAAAATGATTTCCAGCTGTTTCACTTAATTTGCAACATAATGCGCACAGTTCAGCTGGAATTACTTTCTGCTGTAGGAACAGCTCCTTTCCTTACCGTCTGCAGTAGTTGTTAAAGTTGTTAACCGACTCTCGCTTAGCCCACTGCACAGTATCCGGTACCATTTTAGCAAAACAAACCCTTCTCCAGTTTCATGTTCACTGTAAAGATTTTGATTTTTTCTGCTTCATAAACAACAAAATGACCTTTCCTAATAAGAAGTGAGGCAGCAGCGCTCCCCCGTGACCCTCCTCTACGCCACACATGATTGATTGCTTATCTCTCCAATGCACCCTCCCTGGTTTTTTTTTGCTTTTTCCCTTCATCTGTGTTTCCCTCTCTGTTTCCTCATTTCCTCCTTTAGCACCTCTGTGTGTTTCACACCGTCTTTCATTTATTTCCCCAAGAAAACAGACCTTTGAAGGAAACAGTAGGTCAATAAAATGATTTATCTTTTTGAAAACCATTCGAATCCAACCCAGCAACTCAGCGTTTGTGTTTGAGGTCCGCTCCGTGTTACTCGTGCTTGATGCTGGCTTACTCGTGAGATCTGTGCAGCCGGCGCCAAATATAACTTCCTTTCTGCCATTGTTCAGAATTAACTTCATACAATTTAAAAAAACACAACACGCACACATGTACACACACATCCATGAGCCATAATGGGAGACATTTTTCTTCACGCAGTCTTGTTGTCATAAATACCCACTCTCACATTACACTCATTACTCTGCAGCTGAAGTAGTTACCAAGAAATGCACTGTTTACTTCGGTTTAAGTATCATTTGACAAAAACAGTTTAATCATTTTTGAAAAGATGATTTTGAAAGAAATGGTATGTTATTTGTTTCTTGGCAGTAAAGAAAACAATCAACATTTTTTCTCTTATATTCAGTTATGCTTACACGAAGCGAAATCTAACATCTGTTCACTCATGAAACTTCTTCTTCTTCAGGAAATATAACATTTCCTTCCTGAATGGTTACTATCGGCCCGACGGCACAGACGACCACCCTTTCATCTGCTCCATGGAAAGAGAAAACGGGATGCTCCGGTGCACTGATGTGCCTCGTCGCCGAGTAGGCAGGACTTCCTGCTTGCTGGATGCTGGGGAGGCCCTACCAGAGATGGGCCTCAGAGTAGATGAGCCCGGGTCTTGTGTGAACTGGTATCAGTATTACAATGAGTGTCGTGCTGGGGAATTGAACCCACACAAAGGAGCTATTAACTTTGATAACATTGGATATGCCTGGATTGCCATTTTTCAGGTAAATGTCTGCAGGATTAATCGCAGGAATCTGATTGGCTACCATGAGGTGCACACTACATATCGCTGTTGTTGTCTGTGTGCATGTTTTCATTCAGGTAATTACTCTTGAGGGTTGGGTAGACATCATGTACTATGTCATGGACGCACATTCTTTCTACAACTTCATCTACTTCATTTTCCTCATTATAGTGAGTACATGCTTATAGCACAAATGCCCACACACACACATATCCATATGTATACATAAAAAATTCTGCTTATTGTATGTGACGTGTGTCGTCCTCTCTAGGTGGGCTCCTTCTTCATGATCAACCTGTGCCTGGTCGTAATAGCAACGCAGTTTTCTGAAACGAAACAGAGAGAACACGCCTTAATGAAGTCAGAGCAGCGCGCCCGCCAGCTCCATCAGTCGGCCTCTACGCTGGCCAGCGATAGCCAACCAGGGAGCTGCTACGAGGAGATCATCCGCTACCTGGCGCACCTGGGCCGTAAGGCTTGGCGACGGCTCTCCCGCTGCTACGCTCAGACGCGCACGCGCTTTCGCTGCTCATGCGTGTGCCACAGAGAGCAAGGTGGCGGATCTGCCAGGGGCGGTGGGGCCGGGGAGATGAACGGTCTCGCCCACCGGCACTCAGGCCACGCCCCTAATAACTTGTCACACCTTCATCAGCTTTATCATCATCATCACCAAAACCATCAGCCTCAGACTGACCCCGCCATCAGTAATGGAGGCAACGGCTTTAATTATCCCTTCATAGCGCCCCTCTTCAGTCACGGGGATGCAAAGGACCAGGACCAAAAGAGGCTGGTTGCTACGGAGACCGGCAACAGACTGCCGCAGCTGGTGCTGGAGCACGGTGAGGATGAAGGGATGTGTGTGAATGTTTGAAAGTGTGTGAATCACAGTGTCACACTCTGACTATTACACATGTGGAAGCAGCGAGTTTGATCCCGTGTCCAGGATTAAAGGCTTTAAAATTCCCATAGACTGTATGTAAAAGATGGACATGAGTGCTAACATGACTATTTTCCATGAAAAGTGTGACGCAAACCAGAAACGGGAACTCTTTTCCTTTGAAGCAAAAGTTTCAACTCTTGAAATGGACATTGAAATGTGTTGATTGCTTACAAATTAGCAGTAAGGAAGCACTTTTACTTTTTGTAAAAGCATTGTCGATTTCCGGTTTGTGCTGCACTTTTTCAACTTCCACTACAACTCAGAGAGTAAGTGGCAATTGTTTGCAGTCTGTGTGGTCTACAGACCATCTGTTAGCGACCAAAGTAAATGCATGGATGTTTTGGGAGGAGTACCACGATTTCACCTGGAGGAAGACGGCAACTTCCATCCAGCTGGGGAAAACACATTTTTCCGTAGTGACTGGAGCTTGCTAGGAGGTTGCAGACTGGTCTCTAGGCCTGTGTGACTGAGGCCCTAGCAACTGTCATCTTGGTATTTTCAAACCTGGCGTGACGAGTGTGGGGTGTCTCTGAGACCTTGGCTTGTGTCTTGGTAAAGCATTTCTTACTTCATCCCATTTTTTAAACCCTAATGAAAGACCTTAATTTACAAAATGTCATCATGAGTTATTAAATAAGACTTGAAACTATCAACTGAGCCTGTAATCTAATCAGGACAGGGATCATCACAAGCCAAGGGCAGTTTTCCAGTAGATTTCCTTATGCCATGTACATCTTTTTGCAACCATAATGCAGGTTTAAGACAGCTCCACATTGGCTTCATTTTTCAAACCTGGAAACTACAATAAGTCCATCTTTTAATACAGTCTATGATTACTCCCCTGTTTTGCTGTTGTTCGTTTGAATAATCTTTGTTTTTGTTTAATTTGAGAAATAATCTCTGGCAGTCCCAAATTAACCAAGAATACATCTTCCCACTTGCCCTCGGCTGTATTTCAAATTCAGATCACTTCAGATTTATTTAGTGAAACTTTGATATCTGTGCGACATTCACCACCTTTAACACTGCGCAGGCACATTTAATTTTCTTTTCGGAGCTCAAAGCAGTATGATAAAAGAAGCAGAGCCTCTGTGCACATTTTTATGCACGGAAAAGGCGAGCAGAATTCAATAACGCTGTGTGTCCCTTATACAAGACGACACTCAGGGGTATTATAATTCAAATTCTTGTGGCTACACTGAACATGTAACGTATGCACGTTCATGCAGCAGCCACACGCTTCCACTATAATCAATAAGGCTGGCAGATCAGCTGCGTAAATGTGTAAATGCTATGGAGAGCCACTCTGCAAACAGAAAAAAGACCAGCCTCCTCTTTTTTTTTCTTGTTCTTTTGCAGAGCGTTGGATCATAAAGTGTTCATATATATGAATGCTTTTTATTTTGCCAGTACCAGCTGGCAGTTTCATAGTAACTTTATATCTTACGTCATCCACTGCAGTCTGTAGTCTTACCCATGTCGCACAAACTTAGTGAAAAATGTGAAGTTTCAGAGCGCTGTGCAGACACGACACAATCCCGAAACAAAACTCCCCGTCTGGTTTCACCTCTGCCTCGCACAGCACTGCAGGAGCTAAAAGATAAGCTTGTGTTTACCGTAGCCTGAGCATTATCCATGTAATGAGATGATGTATGTGACAAAAGGAGGACTATATGTTTACAGCGGCTTTAAAATGCCATGAACAATCATGCTGTTAAAAAGCATCAACCAAATGCCGTCATTCCTCACAACAGCAAAGCTTTGAGGAAAAATGTGAAAAACTGGAAGATCATTCAGATGATCTGTTGTACTATTCAAGCCTAAAGGTTGAAGTGTCTCCAGACAATTGATCCAAAACATTTCTCACCGGTCTAACCTTTTTATCTACATCTTCTCCTTTGTGGGGCCTTGCGTGCTTGATTCTCTGAAATCTCTGTGGAGAGATGGGATGCAAATATTCAGGAAGATGACTTGTAGCAGAATACTGAAGATCTTTTAATAAGATTCTTTGCCTTATATGGGATAACCTGAAAACCTTTGAAACAATGCAAATTTATTTTCCCACATCGACACATCGAGCATTGCTGAAAGCAGTATAAAAATGCAGAACTGTGCAAAAGTCTTGACCCGTCTGTTTTTTTTTAAAGTGGTCTTGAACAATGGTTCTCCGGGCTCTCTGAAGATCTTTCAAAGTTTTTATTCAGACTAAAAAACACAAAAAAACAAACTAATTTCAGATCAGTCCTAGTACCTGACCGTCTTTACAGGAATTCTTTCTTTAAGAGACTGATCATTCAGGGATAAAAACACCTAACTCAAGAGATGGACCAGTGCTGGATCTGTGCATTTCAGTCAACTTAGCAATGAGCCATTTTAAAACTATATCTTTAGGCACTTTAGTTAAAGCTATGAGAAATGCCAAAGATAACACAGTTTGACAGTCATAAAATAATATTTGTGCTCCAACAAGAGCCATTAGTCAAAAACTTGGCATATCGCAGCATGGTGTGCAGTGTATCCTTTAAAAATGTCTGGAAACGGGTCAAGTGCAGGAAGAAGAAATGGCAGGCCTAACAACTGTCTACAGCGGATGAACAGTGTCTGAAAGTTTTGTCCTTAAGAAATGGGAGGGAAAAAAATCCAACAAAGACCAGACACAGGACCTGCGAGATGTATCTGGACCTTCAGCTGATCCATTTACTATTCACTGAACCCTCGAAATGGTCTGTCAAGAAGCCATTCTTAAGGAAGAGAGAGAGAGAAACAAGGCTGAAGTATGAAAATTACACAAGAACTGGACTGTAAAAAATATGGTTCAAATCATCGCCAGGATCAGAGGAGGTCAGGAGACAGAAAGAAATGATGGGTGGCTCGAGACTTTTTCACATAAAAAACTCTGCCAGACAATGTTGAATTACACATATAATTTCTAAGACAAGAACTTAATTTAAAGGCATGCTCCATAAAACTGCACTCTCACTAAACTCGAAGATTCACTTGGGAGAATAAAAATATACGGTCAACATCAAAGCAGCAGAGGCCAAGATATCCTGTCTTTTAATTCCCAGTATGAGTCATGTTCCAAAAACACATTGCGACTCCACAGCCCAGTTGGTAACGCAGCCTTTTCATTAAAATTTTGTTATCTCAAAGTCCAAGCTGAATTAATCCGGGTAATCCTGACATCATCAGGGCCCCCCCCCCCCCCCCCCCCCCCCCCCCTTTCCACGGCTCCCTGCGTGTTTCACAGCACTTTAAGCATCCGTTTTCACATATCAGCGTTTAATACACTTCAGTGATGCAATAAATTCCGACTGTAGTTGGAGAACTTTGCAGCAGAAGTCATTCAGCGTGGTGCTACGTGAAAGCCACCCACATCTCCTGATTAGTGTATTTCCTGTGTATGTAGTGAAGTCAGTCATTTTCAACAAGTCTGCCTTGAAGGCAGTTTTATCTATACACACGCACACACACACCGCAGAACGACCAGATTGGATTTACTATATCAGTCTCCAGTGAAACATGAATTTGTTGTAATTGTGATGACAAGTGAACTGCTCGTGCTAGATTAGTGTTTGTTGTTATGTCGTTGGAGCATTCCTCCGGAGTGCCTTACTAATGAATTCTGCTGAAATCTTACCCCCCCAGGTTTCTTCCCCCTCACAAAACGCACATACACACACACACTTGAGCATCCTTGTTCTAATAACAGAGCTCTCCGTCTGCACAAAGCAACCCCCCCCCCCACTAGCACAGTGGTTTCCATGTTATTGAATTTTTGTTTCCCAGAAATGAAAAGAAACCCCTCTCCTTTGCCGAGCCGAGAATATATTAAATGACAGAGTGTCTGCATACAGAAGCGACGTTTTACTCTACCCTCGTGGATGCATGATTGATGTGGCCTCTCCTCTGATCTCTGTCTGTGCAGGAGGCTCTGCTGGGCATCCGGCGTTACTGTTGCCGGGCGAAGTCCCCGGAGAGTCCTCGGTATGCCCGTACTGCATCTACTACAACCAACTTAGTGACGGCGAAAATGTTAACGAGCAGCCTGAAGAGCAGCGCCACGGCCACTCGTGTCACAGTAACAGCCCGTGTCACTGTAGCAGCTCGTGCCTCAGTGACGCGCAGCTGCCTGAGCCAAAGAAGAGGCTGTGGGAGTGCGGCTGGGCGAGGCTCAGAACTAAACTGGAACTTATTGTTGGCAGCAGATACTTCAGCAGAGGAATCATGATTGCCATCCTTATTAATACTCTGTCGATGGGCATAGAGTACCACGAGCAGGTAAGTGTGCGCACGTGTGTGGGGTGCGCGCCTCTCGCAGATTGGCTGCGACTACAATTTGATTGAAAATTGATGCGCTAATCACCGTGTGCGGTGGAGTCAATAAACTTACCCTCCAATCAACACTTACAGCAGCGAGCATATGGGATCGCGGAGAGAGTGTGCGCATGTGTGTGTGTGTGTGTGAGTGTGAGAGACTGTGTGTGGGTGTGTGCAGGCATGTATCAGGAGATGGAGAAACTCATAAGACCTGAAGTGTTAATTAAAGCGTGACCCTGGGACAGGACGGGGGGAGGGGGGTGGGGGCAGAGCGAGGAGAAGCGAGTGGATGAGTGAGGTGGAGAGGGAGGACAGATCTGACATTGTGATTGGCTGAAAGGCAGCGGGAGATTGTGTTTAGCCTATTTCCTGAACAATATGACAAATCTGGATGGCTTTAACTTCTCCGATAGCTAAAATTTAAGGATGAGAGCTGCCCTATTTTACCTATTCTATCCCTTTTGGCCCAAAATCAACAAAGAAGCAATGCGAATGAATATAATACGTGAATGCATCCATCTTTTATCATCCAAAACTGTGACATACGCAAATAGCTTTACAGTTTCTTTTTGCCAGTGTTTCCTAATTTCAATCAGGATGACCAGTGCTGTTTATTCTGAAAAACCCTCTGAGAGCAGCTGTGTGTCACGCAGATGGCGCTGAGCATGCTCAGAGAAGCAGTTTCTCATGTGCACTCATTTGTTGGTTTAAGGAGCAGAGCAAAAGAAGAAAAAAACGGTGTCTATGTTCTCTGTAATTTCAAGAAATGTCACCAGCTTCCATGATTTATTTCTTTCATGTACTTTTACTGTCGTAGTTATTGTACGACAGCAGCTCTGTGGCTCAGAGGTATAAACTATGTTAGACTTTATGCAGACTACTTGTTATTATGATTTGTGAATAATATTAACTCTTGTGTTTTGTTGACGTTGGCTTGACTTCGTTTTTGTTTGGGTCCCACAAACCCAGCTGCTGCGTCTGGGAAGAAAATATAAGATGTCAAATCCAGAGCGTTTGCTGTTAGCATGTTTTTCTGATCTTGTTAAAACCCAGCAATAATCCTGTTTAGTCTAATCTATCACAGTATGTAATACAGGATTATCTGTATGCACCGTACTGTGTAAAAGTCTTGAGCCACCTATCATTTGTTTATATTTTCCTTCCAAGGAGGAAGACTTTATTGAAAGTTTTAAAGAGGTCTTGAGCAATACTTGTTCAAGCTTTCTGAAGGTCTGTCAAAGATCAAAGATCCACTTCACACTGACCTCTGAATCATTCAAGCATACAAAAAGGCATCTAACTGAAGTGATAAACCTGTGTTGTGTGTACACGTAACAGTCAAATGAAAAAATAGCAACCTAAAACAGATGAACAGTACCTGAAAGTCGGGTAAATTGGAAAAAATCAAGCAAAAACACGACTTGAAAGTTACATCTGGAACTTCAGTTGATCCATCTACTTTTGAGGCTTCATCAGAAATGGTCTCAGTGGGAGGGTGGCTGTCTAGAAGTCATTCTTAAAGAGGTGAAACAAGGAGAAACGGCTGGAGGAGAACAGAATAGACTAACAACCGTAATGTAAAACATGATGGAGGCTCTGTCATGGTTTGAGGCCCCATTTCAGCCATTGGTGCTGGAGAAATGAATTGATTAAATTATGAACACCGAAAAATACCGTCACATTTTGATCCATCATGCAAGGCCATCTTGAAAGCATTCGATTTGCAGCACTTCATTTTCAACATGACAATGATCCCAAACATACTGCTAATGTAGTAAAAGTATAGAAAAACACACAATGAACCCGGACCTCTACATTATTGAAGCAGTTGTAACATGTTCTGGTGAGGAAGCAGCGGCTAGCACGACCAGCCGGCATGTGGTGGGGAGGTTAACTGGACAACTCGGCGGCCAGTCGGTTAGACAGAACAACAGACCTTTATTTGGCGTTAGCAGAACAAGACCATACAAGTCAAGTCTCCATGGCTTTACCCTGTTCCTACATACATGTGCTGGGGTTAGTTAATTGCCTGCGCCAGCCTGTTACAATGGTAAGGTCTTTCTGAACAGATGCACGGAGAGCAGCATGGACTCACGGCGACTGTCCAGCTTCTACAGTAATAGGACAACATCCCACTAGCGTTGCTATACCACAATAAAAGGGTGTTAGACGGTGTGGGATCAGCTTGACAGAAAACAGAAAAAGAAGGAGAAACATCCAAAGACGGGCTTTGAATGTCCTTCAAGAAGCCCCCGAGAACTTTTCCTGAAGACAACTTAAAGAAATTAGAGAAAAGCTTGTCAAAGAGAGTTCAGGCTGTGGTGAAGAATAAAGGTGGTCATGAACTATTATGTTTGTACTGCTATGACTGTACAAACTCATTTTACACGTTTTAATAAACTGCTGCACCCGTTTCCCATTTTCCTGGCAAAATATAAAGACGCAAAGGTGGGTCCAAGACTTTTGCACAGTACTGTGTGATATATTGGAAAAGACGCCTCATCAAGTGTGTGCGGGGCCTGGTTGAGTGTGCAGGTGAGGAAGTCATACGTGCCATCATTTTAAAGATGGTGAACATGATTAGCTGCTTTTGAAGTGGAAATTTTGGACTTTTGAAATCATTTATCCAAACATATTACCACCAGATATTTATCTGTGAAAATGATTAGCACACACGTGGAATCAGTATGCCTTCAAAAAGCTTTCAAAATACTGTTTTAAAATGATTTTGCATGGTTGTGGACGAGTTTTTGTCATGGTCTTGTTGAACTTTTTGACCACTCTTCCAAGCAAACTGTTTGACGGCTTATTGCTCGTTCTGCCTGTTTCATAACATTTTAACGGGGTTCAAATCTCTTACGACAATTATCCTCATAAAAGGTCCACTTCAGTTTTCCGACAGATGCCTCGCATTATCTTCAAGCACTCTTTGATGTGATGGAGAGAATTTGGCGTTGATTTAATTACTACAGGCTGCCCAGGCAGCAAAGTGACCCCGAGCGCTAATATTTCCACCGCTACGCTTCTCCTGAAAAGATGTCTTTGGTCTGCACCAAATGTCTCTTCTGTTACTGTAGCCAGTCATCTCTGTATTTGTCTGTCCGGAGCACATTTAGTCCAAAAGGGTGGGTTTTGCCTTTATGTTCACCAGCTCATATTTAGGCGACTGCACTTCTAAGAACATGCACTTTCATACCAACTTACCTGCAGCCAAATGACTGCTCTTTACAATGGAGTGTTAGGGACACACTGAGAAAAAATATTATTGATCATTTTGGAGATTAAAGCCCTCTGCATAAAGCTTTGTGTACATGAGAACGTGAAATCGTACTGCAGAATCAGTTTTAGTTACAAGGAAATGATTTCTGTTTTATCACATAAACACAGTGAGGTGATACGTATAAGGATGGTGAAGCTGCATCTGGCCAGAAGGAAAAAAACCCACACAATATTGACCAGATGAAATAGCTGGCAGTGGACAGATGCAAGGTTATCGACGGTTACAGCCTCATAAAGAGGATGTTGTATCACGAGACACGATAAGACAGCTGTTTAAGTTGCTTCACTGACTCATCTGCACGAGGCTTTTGTAGAGTGTATACGAGCTTCGGCAGTTATTATGAAATGTAATCTCCACATTTTGGGTTTAATCTCAATTTAATCGTAAAATATCAACTGCACTTTATTCGATGGGCCACTGCCATGGCGATGATGTCATGAAGAAATTATGGTTAGTTTACTATGGCAACATTTGGACCCTAACAGATTACACGCTCATTGTAATTACAGCTCAGTCTTGTAGCTCATCACATGAAGTACATCCTTGACTGTGTATAAGACACGAGCGTGATTAATAACTCCTGAATCACGATGGCTGAAATGCCTCAGTTGCACTAATTAATGTTTTGTTCTTGTGTCCAGGCATGCAAGAGATATTGTTATATCATGTACTTACCAGATAGTGAATTATCTCACGCTATGATAATACAAACACCCTTATAGTATTCTGTATAAAACTCTTTGCAGACTCGCGTGGATACCCGGACGATTTTCTGAAGGCTTTGGGAAGCTTTCTCAATCTTGGCACGATGACAGCACTTTAATAGCAAAGACAGCAGCAGACCCTCGATATCAGACAGACAGGTTGAGACAGGCTCCATCTGTGATTCCCTAATCATTGGCAACACAGATTTTAGTGTCATGCTTTTGAAGGGTTGACAAATGTAGGACTCTACTTATTTTATTGAACTTTTTCTTAATGACAGCTACCACTAAGGTAACGCCTAGCATAGCCTAACCTAACCTTAGAAAATCAGAAATTATTACATTAAATGGACAAACGTGTTGGGCCACACCTCTTAATCTCTGAATTCAGGTGATGTCAGTTGGCACAGGTGTATAAAATCAAACATGTGGCTGTGCTGTACAAACATTTGTGAAAGAATGGATCGTTCTAAAGCGCTCATCGAGTTTGAGTGCGCCTAAAAATTAACTGCTCACCCCTGATATGTGTAGATGACCAAGTACTTTTGTTGTTTTTGATGTGGGTTTTTGTCCCCCAGAAGAACAAATGCTGCATATTACGATATTACAGGGTTACAGATAATTTTATGAAGTTCTTCGTTATAAAATAATTAATTATATTAGATCCCAGTGAGCATCTTTAAGACCGATATTTGGTGATTTAAGAGTCTGATAATTCTGGCAGAGGGTTCTTCTTGTTAAAAGGGAGTTTTTCTTTACCACTGTCGCCAAGTACTTGCTTATATTAGTTTTCTCTGTGTAATTGTAGTCTTTACCTTACAATATAAATCTTTTGAGGCAGCTGTGTTTGTGATTTGATGCTACAATAAATTTGAACTGAATTCAAATTAAAAAAAAAATCAACATATCAGCCAGTATTATTTTTTTCAGACGCACAAAACATGAACAAATTTCTCTAACATTTTTCACGTGTAATCATCATTTATGGGTCCCTACTTAGATAATAAGACAAAGCAGTTTAAAGCACAGTCGTGTTTTGTTGTGCTGTTTGGCTCACACATGTGGTGTGACGCTAACGCAGCAGCCTGCACGTCCTCCTTCTGCTCTCCCTGCTTTCATGTCATCTCTCTCAACTGTTATGATAAAAGTGGAAAACAGGGACAGGGCTAACAGGGAATTTCCCCTCTGGTAGATAAACTATGAAATATTAACGTTTGTCACGTGGTTGAAGGGTGTTTCTCCTGTCGCTTCACTATAAATTCAGATACTGATAGACTTGCACATAGCTAAAGTTTAGAAGTTACTAGACTTTATTGGGTTAACTTTTTAATTCTGTTAAAAGAGGATCAAATGTTTGATTGTCCAAATGTGCAAAAAAAATGCATGTTTTTACATAACAGTGGGTCTTTATGGCAAATTGATCAGTAGAAAAATGTCCTGAAACGACTAAGTAACCAACTATGTCCTTAAAAACAGGCTCTGAAACATTTTTCTTTGTGGATTTTTTTGAAATGAGGATACAAATTTAAGCTTTTTTTTTTGTCATAAACCTAAAAAAATATCTGAAAAAAAGAACAGCAACAAAATCTGACCAGCTTTAATCCGTGTGAACCCAAACCGAAGCCTTCACCAACATCTTGGAGATTCCTAACATGTTGAGTGCACTGAGCTCCACGCTGTCTGTCTCTGTTTATTTGTTCATTTTTCTCTGTGCCCGTCCATCTCTGTACATCAATCTCTCCCTGTTTTCTCTCCACAAACACTGCACCTCTTCAGCCGCAGGAGCTGACAGATATTTTGGAGATCAGTAACATGGTGTTCACTAGTCTCTTCAGTCTCGAGATGCTGCTGAAGCTCCTGGCTCTCGGGCTCTTCGGCTACATCAAGAACCCTTACAACGGCTTTGACAGCGTCATTGTCATCATCAGGTGGGGGGAACTCTCTGTCTGTGTGTTTACCCCAAAAAGGGAATTCTTGTCATTAGTTATTCCTCCTGTTCTCACGTCTCGGGCTCTGCAGCTAAATCTCCCGAACTGCCAGCGATGCCGGTGCTGGCAGCTGAGCCAAGCGGTTGCACTCATAGTCCAGAGGGCCTGTATTCACTCCATTATGTAGTACTACAAGCTAAATTATGTATCCACGTTTGAAGGCCTTACTTGTTTACCGTGCCAGTTCACGCTGCGCTGGCTTTCCTTATTGGCTGGTGAACTGTAAACAACACTGGCCCCACTTCGTGTTTTCGTTTGCCACACGTCACATCAAAAAGACTTGAGCGCTCTCTCCTTTCTGAAAAGATTCGGGAAGTTTTTCTTTCTTTCTTTTTGTTTTTGTTTTCCTGGGTGACGCTAATGCTGACAAAGGGTAACAGCTGATTCCTTAATCGCTTCAATGGAAATGCATCTCTGTGCTTTTAACCTGTGTGTGTGTTTCAGCGTGTGGGAGATCGTGGGTGAGGCCGAGGGAGGCCTGTCGGTGCTGCGCACCTTCCGCCTGCTGAGAGTTTTGAAGCTGGTCCGGTTCCTTCCTGCACTCAGGAGGCAGCTGGTGGTGCTGATGAAGACCATGGACAACGTGGCCACCTTTTGCATGCTGCTGATGCTTTTTATATTCATATTCAGGTATATATTCACGAGTTACAGTGATGCTTAAGCGTTTTATCTGCTTTAATTATACTGTTATTACTTAAAACATTTCAAATGGCTACTGCTGTTATTCTCCTTCCTCTGTTATAAACTGATTACCACATGTGTTATCGGCTTTCATGTAGATACAACTGTGCACGCAGGCAGTATTACCGCATCTTGTTGTTGCACATATTAAATTACTGCTTGATAAAAACATTACCTTACTGTTGTGTGTGTGTGTGTGTGTATTGCAGTATCTTGGGGATGCATCTGTTCGGCTGTAAATTTGGTTTGCGACAAGACAGCGGAGACACTTTACCAGACAGAAAAAACTTTGACTCCCTGCTCTGGGCGACTGTCACTGTCTTTCAGGTTAGACAAACATCCTCACATGCACCCTCGCTCAGGGACACACACACGCAGAGCACACAAAGACCCCGACGGTATTTGATTTGGAGGAATTTCCCCATCAATTACGCGCCACTGTTAGGAGTGAGATTCAAACAACAGCTGCTGCAGTCACGAGCGCTCGCCCGTGATTTCATTTGCTCCGATTTGGGAGCGCGCGCGCTCGGTTTTTCAGCAAAGTAGAAAAAAAAAAACTGTCCCAGTGGGCAGGTAAGTTCCTCACGAGCAGAGGAGGAAGAGCAATAATGAAGCACTCACTCGGCGGGAGTTCATTTAACACTGATGAGCGTCATTACTGTTCAACTGACGACAAGATAATAAAGGAAGAAACTCACGTTGTCTATTCTTGGAACACCTGCTAGCAACGTAGCGCGTCGCCTTTTGGCTCCTTGTGTGTTTGACGGCGTGTTTTTCTAACCCCCTGACGTCTCTCCACATCTTATCTAATCTGCAGATCCTCACTCAGGAGGACTGGAACGCGGTGCTCTATAACGGGATGGCCTCCACAACGCCGTTGGCTGCCCTCTATTTTGTCGCCCTCATGACCTTTGGCAACTACGTCCTCTTCAACTTGCTCGTCGCCATTTTGGTCGAGGGCTTTCAAGCTGAAGTAAGGGCAAAGATGCCGTTTCGTTTGAGCTACTTAGACAACGAGGCAGAGCGAATGAGACTAATTGAGCTCTGTTGTGTTGATGATACCAAAGCTGCCTACAAGAGAATAATCTCCTCCATCCTGCCTGTGTGGTTTCTCCTTTCTCTCTCTCTCTCGCTCGCTGTCTCTTTATCATCACACTTTTCCTCTGTTGCTTTTTCCTATCCTCCTTTCTCTCTTCCTCCATCTTTCTTTCTCACTGCAACACACACACATACACACACAAAATACTCTCCAGGGTAGGGATGTGTTTGATATCGCCTGCCATTCACAGCTGGTGAGCTTTTGTTGTTTAGTTTTCATCTTTTATCTCCGGCATCAGAGAGCGCTTGCTCTTTCTCTCACTATTGCACGCGCACACACACACACACACACAGATACCCTTTGCCAAAGCCGCCTGCCTCCATCTTTCTGGCGTGAATTTTAATTAAATTCAGTAAAGCTTTATTGGCGTGACTACAGGAGATCGCTGCCAAAGCCATCCACATAACTCAACTAGAGAACGCTGGAGATTCCCTCCGCCCGTCTGCCTAGTTTTCCTCTTAGTCTTTCCCGCTCGACCGAGATGTGCTTTTCACTTTCACAACACTGAGGAAGGGAAGGTGGTGATGATGATGATGATGACTCTGGTGTATATTTGCGTCTGTCTGTGTTTTCAGGGAGATGCTAACAGATCTGAGGCCGATGATGACAGACACTCGATGTGTTACGATGACGAGGAGAAACTGAGAGAGCTGTACGCTGCAGGTACAAACTCGCAGATCAGCCCGACATGGAAGTGAAAGTTCACATGGAGTCGCCTTAAAATAGCCTTTTGGTGTATTCTGACCTGAATTCTTGGAGGTTCTTTCATCCTGTGAACATTTTAAAGGCTTTCCATAATTCTGCAAAATGTTCTCTTGTTTTTAATCCCAGAAAGATTGAAAGATCTTTATCTGGATGCAGCGTTTTCAGTGGGAGAAAAGTTTAATCTCTCGTTCAACTGACATCTTCAGTCTCGGCTGACTGCAGGTTTCCCCGACCTTATAAACAGCTGTGTAACGACTGAAACTCATGCCACTGACTAACAAACAAACAGAAAAGCCACAAGCTCAGTTTGTCTGATTTAGTTCAGTCAGCCGGTTGTTGGTTTATAATGGTGGGAAAGCTGCAGTCAGCCGAGACTGACGATGTCGCCTTAATGAGAACACTGAGTCCAGATGAACAGAATCAACTTTCGGGGATTTTCTTACCTGGATTATTGAAGCAGGCATCAAGACATTACTCTTACTTTCACTCTGAGGGCTCATTAAAAGGGCAAAACCGCATAAACCTCACTGACATTACACATAGGCCATTGTTTATTCACTCTGATGCTGTCTTTTTTTTTATATTAATTAAAAATTTCAACCTACATTACCTCAAATTAGGCGTAAGATGAATCTGAAGGAGGTTTGGGCTTTTTAAGTAGAGGGTAATTTTGTTTAAATTGCATTTGTGAGCTTCTTGAGGGCAGCTCATCTGTATTTGCTCAAGGACAACATGGGAGTGAAAAATGGACACGAAACACACTGTGAACATTTAGTAACATAAATGTGCACTATCTAGATTTTTTTTTAAATAATGCAGCACATTTTTACAGCTAATCCCATTATTACAGACTCCACGTTTAGAATATTTATGTGTGTCAGCGTTTATATTGAACTTGCTTTACTCTTTGCTCTCAGGGACAAATACTGATAACCTGTTTTATTTATGAATGTGTTTTTCGTCTCGTTGTCCTCTTTGACAGTGAGTAATAAAGAATATTAGAACCCAATTTTTAAACATTTTTAGCTCGATTCTCTAAATCATAAACTTTAAGTTGCGGATTATCAAATTCCCTGATGAAAAATTACTGACTGAAGTCTTAAACGTCTTCTTTCTAATGTCGAGCAGGAGCAGTGAAGTCAAATGATCTCAGTAAAGACTTTCCACATGGGTTTATGGGCTCACTCAGTAGTTTCTAAAGTCTTATTTAGTCACTAATTGTTGTCATAATCAAAGTAAAACACACACAAAAGGAGGATTTATTTTAGGTTGGTCTGTTTTTGCCAGACCATGTGATCCAGAAGTCAGTTGCACAACTTTTAGTGCAGTCAGTTTGTCAGCTCCACAACTCATGCATAAGATCCACCTTAAAAACCTGAATATCCACAGAGCTTTACCAGCCAGTGAGTGCGATCGTGACATATACAGCCTATATGCAGCAGATGCAGCCATGGTCAGTGCAGCCGTGATCCAAACCGAAATCATGAAAATATTGCAAATCCCAAAATATAATAAATGAGAATCATTCTTTGACATCAAATATTCTGTGTGTGCAGAGCTGAAGATTCAGGCCATGATGCTGAGTCCCAATGGTATCCTGAACCCAAAAGCCTCCATGCCTCCCCCTCCTCCTCCACCGCTGCCGGTCATCACGCACACTGCAGCTACGCCCACCATAAACTCCAACCAGTCACGCCGGGCCAGTGGTGCATCCATGGAAAACAGCCTTGAGCAAAGGTCACCGGTGAGCCTTGGGCACATGCGTTTATGTGGATATATATATATGTTTATATAAAACCACGTTAAATATTTATTATAAATGTGAGTTTGAGAAACAGTTAATCAAAAAATGTTTGTTATGCAAAGGATATAAATCCAAGCTGAGCTGAAGCAATTTCTAAATGTTGAAGTCATAGAATGATAACAGAGAGCTTCATTAAAGCTACCTTGCAGAGGTTCATTTGTTTACTTTGTTTCCCAACAAACCCATTATGTGTCTTCTCAAGACACGACAAATTACTTGAGTGCATTTCTATCCTCATAAAACATTCACAAAGCCAAATATTTCAGCATTGTTTGGGCTGGCAGTCTTTTTGTTAGCAGGCCTTCTGCTGGCACTTTAGTATCACCAACTGTTGACGGGTTGAGTCATGTAGCCCTCCTTCTATGCACGGTTAAGCTTAATGTTTGAGCTGAACGTCAGGTTCGTTTCACGTTGCTTTTAGGAGATTTGATGCCAACGACTCAGAAGATGTTTCAGACTGAAGTGAGGTGGCTGAAAATTTTAGCTTATCTTGATTAAAACATGTCCTCCAAGGGTGGATTCAGACTGGTCACGGTTGCCTTGATCGATCGCTCCCCATTTTCCCCGCTCCCCAGCTGGTCTGTCCTTAATGAGCCAGGTCCACTTCAGTCTGTCCCGACTCCTTTCTTGTGCTCTCTCCCTTTTTTCAGACACGCGCTCTTAAAAAGCGTTCTTGCAGAGTACAAGGGGTTCATGATTTTATGCAGTTTGTGGCTTAACTGGGCCAGTTCTTATGCCCTGTAGATTTGTTATTAAAGCAGGGGTTTTGACACAGGCAGCTGCTATTGAGCAAGTGGCGCAGTTCTGTGCTTGGATGGTCATCACACTACATGTGTACCATCACTGAATTCAACTGAAGCTCAGCTGTGACCACCTATTCGAGCCAGACGGGGCACAGTTCACTTAACTGCGAATGGCGCGCACTAGTAATCGCACTAGTGAAATGAGCTGGACTTTGGGGTCAGATGTGCTGGGGAACAGATGGCCTACGGTGAACACACCCTTAGTTAAAAAATGCAAGAGGGGAGCAGCAGCATGACCAGAAATAGAACAAAGCAGGCAACGTCAGTGGTGACAGATATGACAATGGTTATGTAGACACGGATGGAAAGGACAAATTGGTCTGGAGGCGGGTTTCAAAGTGGCTTGCAGATACAGCAGTAACTGTGGACAGGCTAAAGGACAGGTTGGAAAGAAAAGTGCATTGATGGACCATTGAGCGAATTCAGTTCAGTTGAGTTCAGTTGTATTTATATTGCACTAAATCCCAAAGCAGTTGCTTCATAGCACTTTATATTGTAAGGTAAAGACCTTACAATAACATGGAGACAACCTTAAACCCACTATTAGCAAGAACATGGCAATAGTCGCAAAGAAAAACTCTCCCAGCATTCTGCAGCATAACTGAGGGTTTGTTCAGGGTTTGCTTTTTAATAAAGCATATAGTTAGGGTTGGATCAGCTAAGTTTTAAGCTGAATCTTAAAAGTAGAGGGGGTGTCTTTCTCCCGAATCTAAACTGGGAGCTGGTTCCATTGAAGAGGGGCCTGAAGGCTGAAGGCTCTGCCTCCCATTCTACGTGTATATATCCTAGGAACCACAAGTAAACCAGCAGTCTGAAAGTGAAGTACTCTATTGGGGTGACATGGTACTATAAAGTCTTTAAGATAAGATAAGGCTAGGTTATTCAAGTCCTTGTATGTTCCACTGGCAAATGGTTGCAGGTGGTTGCTCGCTGTGGCTAGCTTCTGCACTGAAACCTCTTAAAATGTTATCAGATAGCATCCTGTTGTTTTACCCTGTTTCTCAGTAAGTTTAATAACTGTGCTGGGCCAAACAGACTTATCGTTAGCGCAAATCCTGGTCATTTCTATGTAGAGGTTGATAAGGAGCACAAGATACAAACAAAATAGGAGCCCACTCATGAAAACACGCTAAACGCTGCACTGCTAATGGCCAAAAACTCTACGGGGCAGCTTTAATCTGTGAAGAATGAAATCCTTATTTGCACTTGAAAGATAAGGCAGAAATCCAACAAGGCACTGGTTCTGTTCTAAGTTGTCTTCACAGTCCCTGTGGGACAGTGGGCCAGAGAGCCGTCGCTCCAGCTGGATTAGCATCGGCCGAGCCCCCAGCCTCCACAGGAAGAGCCAGTCTGGAGAAATGGAGTCCCTGCTGTCCGACACATACTCAAGCTCCAAAGCCAGCAGCAGGGAGCAGTCTCTGGACCAGTCAGAGTACCTGCAGGTGCCAATGCTCCTCTCCCCAGACTGTAACGGCACCACCTTCCACCTGCCAGACCACTGCTACGACGATGCTCCCCTGACATCGCATAACCACAGCGATCAAGAGGAAGAGGAGATTGAAGAGGTTAATGCCTATTTGTTTCATGAATTTGTCTTGAA